CTGGGATTTATTTATCTTCTATAATTGAAACTTTGTAGCCTTGAGCGGAGCCCAGAGCCCCCAGGGCAGGCGGGAAGCTCAGCTTCCTCCATCGCCAGGGGCAACCCAAGCCTCCTGCTCGCTCCAGCTCAGTGGCCGCCGCCATCTTAATTGGGTTAATTTGTATACTTGCTCCTGATTGGCTGGTGGACGTGGCTTGTGGGTGTAGCGGAGTGGCGAAGTGATGGTTAATTTGCATGTTTCTCTTTTATTAGTGTAGATGGCTAATGACTGAGATTGCTGACATGAGATTTTTAAATGGGAGATATAGACAATTGGTGATATTAAGTAGAAACAGAATAGAAAGTACAGCATGAACTTAGAATGTATTTCATCTTTAATTCCTAGCTCTATCCACTGAAAAAGCCTAGAAATAATACCAATTCAGTAATGACCAACCTAGTGCCCAGAGAGCTCTAAATACCATTTCCCATTAAATAAACCAATGGTCCTTGGAGAAATGGTTGATTCCAGGTCTGGGATAGAAAAAGATATGAGCCAGAACAACCTGTCACACTACAAACAAGGAAGCTACCAAAGCCTACAATGGTCTCAGTAAGAAGACTCAGGAGTCAACGTGAGCAAACTTCCCAAGGCCACAGATGGACATCCTGTGCATCCATAAAAATAGTAAGTGTAATAAATTGAAAAATATTGAACGTGTAAATCCATGAGTTTATAATACTTTCAAAACAAAAACTGAACCACCCTCTTTGGTCACTTTTGGAGATGCTGGGAAAACACCAACTCATCATTCTTAAAATTGAAAACTAAAGCAAAATAATCAAGCATTTATCTTGCCTTTACTAGATGAACTTTCGGGTAACAACATAATTGATAAAGGCAAGTTTCTTTTTAGATCATCAATGACTGTTCACATTACAAAAGGACACAAGCAAACATTATGTGCCTCCTGATGGAAGTATATACCACACACCACCTAAAAAATAGTCTTGCCCTTCCACTCTCCCAAATCAAACCTGTATATGAGCAACTCTCTAGATCTAACTACCAATTTACAGGAAAGACAAGGTCTGAGGAACATATTAATTAATACCATGAAAACCTACTCAGAAAAATCCAGATGTAAAAAACTCCACAAGACAAATAGGCTAGTTTCTTCAACAAACAAGGGAGAGAGGAAGATAAGGGGGGAAGGAGAAATAGAGGGGGAGAGAGAGAAGGAGAAAAGGGGGGGGGTGCACTACATAGTAAAATCGATTTAAGGATATATCAATCAACTGTATAAAATGTAAGATTCTAGTTTGACAAAGTTTACAACGTCGGATCAACTATAGAGTTGACATGACGAATTACTGTTAATATTTTAGGCATGATTATGGTATTATGGTTATCTTTTAAATCTTTACCTTTAGAGATAAATATGAAAATAGTTATAGATAAAATAACTATGCTTCAGAATATCAGGGCAGAGGAAAGGAGTACAGATGAAACAAGAATGGGCATGAACGGTTCAATTCCCAATCTGGGCACATGACTGGATTGCGGGCTTGATTTCCAGTGTGGGGTGTGCAGGAGGCAGCCGATCATGATTCTCTCTCATCACTGATGTTTCTATCTCTCTCCCTCTCCCTTCCTTTCTGAAATCAATACAAATATATTTAAAAAGAAATAAAACAAGACACCAAAACCATAAAGTAAAGAGAGGTACATTGGGTTAAATTAAAAGTATGATA